CATCACTTCAGTGGCTACTGCCAGTCACCATCTAGCCCCCTTTCACTGGGGCTGACGGCAGTGTACAAGCCATTCATCACAGGCAAGGGGGGTTTGGACCTGCTGCCTTGGCCTACCCCTGGGCTGCCTCCTGCAACCCCAGTACCTTTCCGGCCTTTACCTTAAAAACGAGTGTCCTGTGCTCATCTGCTTATCAGCGCTCCGTTTCCCAGCCCAGGAATACGAACTATAGATCTGATCTGAACTGCGTGTGTGTGAAGGAACACAGATGTCACTCCGGCATTCGCTTCAAACCTGCTGTTCCAGCCCTGCCTCTCTGGGGTACCAGCCAGGTTGAAGGTGGGTGGAATTTCCTACTCCAGGTGTGGGGAGTTTAGGAGGTGTCTGCTGCTCGTCACTGCAGAGTCTGAGCCTCCCGAATAGGAATGAAATATTTCCTTGCCAAGCAAGCGTTATCACGGGCCTGTTTGGTAGATGAGGGACAGAGCTGAGCAGGGCCGGCTTTAGGCCAATTCAACCAATTCCCCTGAATTGGGCCCCGCGCCTAAGAGGGCTCCGCGCCCAAGCCCCGGTACGGCGAACCGGCATGGCCTGGCTTCCCCAGGGGGCAATTTAAAGGGCCTGGGGCTCCCAGCAGGGGCTGGAGCCCCAGGCCCTTTAAATTGCCACCAGAGCCCCACTGCTGGAGCCCTGGGGTAGGGCTGTGAGGCTCTGGGGGCTATTTAAAAAGTCTGGGGCTCCTGTTGCCTCTACCGCCCCGGCCCTTTAAATAGCCGCTGGAGCCCCGCCACTTCCCCAGGGCTCCCTCGACTATTTAAAGGGCCGGGGCAATAGAAGCAGGGAAGCCCCGGGCCCTTTAAATAGACCCCAGAGCCCTGGGATAGTGGGGGCTTGGGGGCTATTTAAAGGGCTGGAGCTCTATCTGCCTCTGCTGCACCCCCTGCCCTGCCTGCAGCCAGGCCCTGTCTCCAGCCAGCCCCTGCTGCACCCCCTGCTCTGCCTCCAGCCCCACACCCCCTGCCTGCACCAGCCCTGCACCCCCTGCCTGTCCTGCCCGCACAAGCCCCGCCTGCCCTGCCTACAGCCAACCCTTGCCGCACCCTCTGCCCTGTCTCCAGCCAACTCCTGCCGCACCCCCTGCGGCCCTACCCGAAGCCAGCCAGCCCCACACACGCCCCTCCCCGCACCAGCCCTGCACCTCCTGCCCTGCCTGCAGCCAGCCCCGCACTCCCTGCCCAGTCTCCAGCCAACCGCTGCCACACCCCCCTGCCTGAAGCCAGCCAGCCCGCGCCACACACCCCTGTCTCCAGCCAGCCTCGCACCCCTTGCCCTGCCTGCAGCCAGACCCTACCTGCAGTCAGCCCCTGCCCTGCCTCCAGCCAGCCCCATGTCCACTGGTGCCCTGCAGTTCCCAGGGCAGTAACCCTGCACACCTGCTTCAACGAGGGGCCCTGGGACCCACACATGTGCACACACACCCCCAGGGAGTGGCGGGGACCCACACATGTGAAACGGAGCTCATTAATAACCGATCAACAGCATATATGACGCAATGTGCAAAATATATAAAATTATTATTTATATAGTTATGGAAAGTAAATAATACATGGAAGAAATGAAAGGCTTTTTTTTTTACTTTTTTTTTTTTGTTAGTCATCCCTGCTGGGGCCCCACCGAAAATGTTCGAATTGGGCCCCGCACTTCCTAAAGCCGGCCCTGGAGCTGAACTGACTAGCCCAGGGTCATGCCAGGAGCTTGTGACATTGCTGGGAACTGAACCAAGTCGTCCTGGTCAGCAGATCAGTGCTGTCACCATCCTTTGTTGGGACTGAGAGGTAAGATCTAGGGTGGAGCCCTAAAGGGTATGTCTACATTGCGATTACGCCCAGGGTTAGTAGAGCTTGAGTGAGCAGATCCTGGGTTTGTTACCCTAGGACTTGAGCGGACGTTGATGATGTTCATAATTTTGACAGATAATATTGATGTTTATTTTACAGTTTTGTTTAAAAGATTTTTATCAATTTTAAATGTTCACAGCTGTGCAAAATTATGGGTTTTAAGCCTTTGAAAAATGTTTATGTAAATGCTCGCAGTTGTGGGAAATTAATTGTCTGACTCCCCCTCCCTCAATTAATGACAATAGATGTTGAGATTTAAACAGTTAAAGCTTTATAACCTTTAAAACACAAATTCCGACACCTCATGTCAAAACATACCAGGAAATACACGTCAAACAAACCCCAATCGGTTCTCAAGCAGCATTTTCCTTTCTTTGCCTGTCTGTGAAGCTCGATAATTGTGGCTGGAAATATTTTGTTCACATGCGCCCCAACCAAGTAGCTTTTGTAAAACCCTGGAATTTTTCAGTTAAAACTGAAAACAAATGGCATTCCGTATAATAAGCATTCAGCCAGAAACTCAGCCAGCCAGACACCTACAGAAACTGCTTCCCAATTCTTCATTGGTCACTGTAATTGGTGATTTCAGGAGGGGTGTGGGATTTTAACACCTGCCAAAGAAGAAATTGATTTCCGCTGCTTTTCCATTGAGGAGGACTGCGGTATTTCACCACTTCCAACCTATTGTGTTATCGCCCCTCCCTCTTTCCTTCTCCAGCTCTCCAATTTGTCCTTGCCTGGCTAGAGTAATCGGTTGTGAGACACGTTGTATCTACCCCCAGCAGCTGCTCGAGTCAACCAGAACTCCCAACCGTTTTCTAACGGTTCTCCCACAATGCTCTGAACAACTGCCTGTTCAGTTTGGCAGATGCAGGTGTCATGGGGGTTGTTCTTAGACCCCGTTCGTTATGGAGGGGGAGAATAACGCCTGCCTCAGACTCTCACAGCTCACCCATGTCGGCGGTGCCCCGGCGGTGCGGGATTCATCTGCTGATCTCTGGCCTGTACACTCATGTCCCTCCTGCCCATCCACCAGACGCACACGCAGCCCTATAGACTCAGAGACCTGAAGGCCAGAAGGGCCCATCACGATCATCCAGTCTGATCTCCTGCACATCACAGGCCAGAGAACCTCACCCACCCACTCCTGTAACAGACCCCGAACCTCTGGCTGAGTCACTAACGTCCTCACATCGTGGTTTAAAAACGTCAAGTGACAGAGAATCCACCATTTACACTAGTTCAAACCTGCAAGTGACCCGTGTCCTGTGCTGCAGAGGAAGATGAAACCTCCCCAGGGTCTCTGCCAAGCTGAGCTGGGGGGAAATTCCTTCCTGACCCCAAATCTGGTGACCAGTGAGACCTTGAGCATGTGGGCGAGACCCACCAGACAGACGCCGGGGAAAGAATTCTCTGTAGTAATTCAGAGCCCTCCCCAGCTAGTGTCCCATTGCGGGCCATTGGAGATATTTGCTACTAGCAGTCACGGATGGGCCACATGCCACTGTAGGCAACTTCATTGTAGCCCCCGCCCCCTCCATAAACTTATCAAGCTCAGTCTTAAAACAAGTTATTTTGTTGTTCACACTGCTCCCCTCGGAAAAGTGTTTCAGAACTAAACTCCTCTGGTGATTAGAAACCTTCATCTAATTTCAAAACTAAATTTATTGATGGCCAGTTTCTATCCATTTCTTCTTGTGCTGACATTGGCCCTTGACTTAAATAACTCCTCTCCCTCCCTGGTACTGATCTCTCTGATCTATTTATAAAGGGCAATCCTATCTCCCCCTCAGCCTTCGTTTGGTTAGACTAAACAAGCCAAGCTCCTTAAATCTCCTCTCGTAAGGTAAGTCTTCCATGCCTCAGATCGTCCTAGTAGCCCTTCTCTGCATCTGTTCCAGTGTGAATTCATCTTTCTTAAACATGGAAGACCAGAACTGCCTACAGTCAGTGGCATAGCCAGGTTCTAACATCAGGGGGAGCGAACACATTAAAAAAAGGCGCCACCCGACATATCAAATTACATACTTTTAAATTTGTTATACATATTTATTTGTACTTAAAATAAAAACACAAGAATGATCCAGCCATGGAAGGGTTTGCACAGCCGGCATTTCGCAGGAGAACTTTAGATTCTAGAAAGTAAATGACAGAATACAGTAGTTTATAATTGTCACAGGTTTAAAAAAATATACTGGCCACTTTTTCCAGTTACTAATTTCATTTTAAAAATCAATCAATGAAATGCACTTTATTTATAAAAAAGAAGAACAGGAGTACTTGTGGCACCTTAGAGACTAACAAATTTATTAGAGCATAATGCATCCGAAGA